AGAACTTTATGTCATAGGGTATGTGCATGTTTCGCTTTTTGAGAAATCACCATTTTCCACAATGACTGTACCAGCCCTACACTCCCATCAGCAATCCATGAGGTTGATAGTTCACCCTCCCTGCCTATATTCAATATTGACTTTTTAATTTTAGGTGTTCTAGTGGACATGAAGTAGATAGCACTGTGACTTTAATTTGAGTTTCCCTCTGATGTTGAACGATGTTTCATGAAGTTTTTTGCCAAAAGAATATCTTTTATGAAGTGCTTATGAAGTTCAAGTATTAAGCCTGGGTTTTATTGGGTTGCTTATACTTTCATTATTATTTTGTTGGGTTATTTAAATATTCTGGTACAAGTCTTTTGACCGATATGTGTATTGTGAATGTTTTCTCCAAGTCTGTGGCTTGCCGCTTAATTTTCTTAACAATTTCTCTGATGAGCAGAGGTTTTTAGTTTTGATCAAGTCCATTTTTTCAGGGTTTTTTTTCTGTTGGAGTTCATATTTTTGTGTCCTCTCTAAGAAATACCTCAAGTCTCAAAGAAGAAGCCTATTGGTTTCTTCTAAAAACTTTATTTTTTAGTTTTATATATATTTTATATTTGAGTTTATGATCCATCTCGAAACAATTTTGTGTACAGAGTGAGGAATAACTAGAGACTGTCTTCTCCTAAAGGTTTCTACAGCTGTTCCAGAACCATTTGCTGAGAAGACTCATTTCCTCTGTGAATATTGTTGGTACCTTCTTGAAAGTCAGTTGATAAGTGAGTCCATTTCTGGATTCCATTCTGTTCCCAATGATCTTCTGGTCTGTCCTCAGGTCACTGCCATACTGTTTTGATTGTTGTAACTTCATAGAATCTTTTGAAGTCAGACCGTAGTTTTGAAGTCAGATGGTATGAATTCTCCATCTTTGTTCTTCTTTTTAAAAATAAAAGTGTTTCGTCTATCCTAGGTTCTTTGTTATTCCACATAAATTTTAGGCTAACTTGAAATTTTCTATAGAAAAGACTTTTGAAATTTTGGTGGGATTGTGTTAAATCTATCTATAGATCAATTTGGAGAAAATTTGATGTTTTAATATTTACTCTTTCAATCCATGATGATGGTATATATCTACCCTCACTGAGGTCTTCTTTCATGTCTTTCAGCAATGCTGTGTAGTTTCCATGAAGAAATCTTGTACAACCTCCTAAGGATTTATTTCTGAATATTTTATATCTTTTATGCTGTTGTAAGCAATGTTTAATTTTCTTTACACTGATATGTCAAAATATAATTGACTCTAAAAAGATTTTATTTATTTATCTGTAGAGGGGAAGGGAAGGAGAGAGGGAGAGAAATATCAATGTATGGTGGCCTCCCATGCACCCCCCCTGCTGGGAACTGTCCTGCAACCCAGGCATGTGCCCTGACTGGGAATCGAACTCCGATCCTTTGGTTTGCAAGCCCGAGCTCAATCCACTGAGCTACGCCACCCAGGGCTATAATTGACTTTTTAAAATATGGGCCTTGCATCCTGAAACATTGTTAAACTTATTTATTAGTTCTAGTAATTTTTTTTTGTGAATTCCCTAGGATTGTCTGTGTATACAATCAGGCAGTTTTGCTCCATCCCTTCCAATAAAATAGATGTGCCCTTTATTTCTTTTTCTTGCTTTATTTCCTCCTCCTTAGGAAGTAAGTGTTTAGTCTTCTACCATTAAGTAGGCTGTTAACTGCAGGTTTCTTGTAGATGCCTATTGTCAGACTGAAGACATTGGTAATTTCCGGGGTTTTTTTCTCTCTCTTATTTTTTGATCAACCTACATACGGATTTATTGATTATGTTAAACTTTTCAAAGGACTAACTTCTGGTTTCATGTATATTCTCTATCATGTGTCCACTTCTATTTCATTCTTTTCCTCTATTTTTATTTCCTTCTGTCTATGCACTATAGATTTCATCTGTTCTTCTTTTCCTAGTCTGTAAAGTGAAGGCTTAGGTCATCATTTTCTGGTGTGAATCCCGGTCATCTTACTTCTTCTCTTTTCCGATGACCCCAGTTCATTCTCTCTTTTCTATGTCATTCATTGTATATTTTCTCTGCATGGTTTTATATACTCTTTTAGTCTCTTTCTCCTTGTGCATACATGTTCGTTTCACGTGCATGTTTTTTACAGAATCTTTAAGTGAATGATAGCCTCCCGGACTGCAAGGACTTTATCTTATGCTGGGTTTATAACCTCTTTGGTTCCTTGTCTGGGGCTGGTATACAATGAACAAATACTTCTCAAGCACCACTGAGGTGGGAGCTACTGTGGGTGATGAAGGTTAGATATGATTCAGATATTCTTTAAGAAGTTAACTAATTTTTAAAAAGATGTTACTAGTAACATAATATGTAACAAGAGCCGAATGAGATGACAAGGCATAAAGACGTGAGGCATTTGGAAGGAGAGGAGACTACAGGATGAATTAGTGAGGAAGACTTCAGAGAGGAAATGGGATTTGAACTGGTTCTGAAGCAGAGGTTGGATTTAAGTGAAGAGGACACTCCATACCTACTGTGGGAACAACGTGTGCGAAGGTCCTGGGGTAAAAATGTACGCTGCCTGTTTGGAAGACAGGGAAGAGACGCAGGATACAATGTGCGGCCCTGGCTGGTGTGGCTCAAAGGTCACGGGGTCAATTTCTGGTCAGGGTACATGCCCAGGTTTTGGGTTTGATCCCCAGACTGGTCTCCAGGGCACATATGAGAAGGCAACCAATCGATGTCTCTCTCTCTCTCTCTCTCCCTCTTTAAAAGCAATGAGAAAATGTCCTCGGGTGAGAATTTAAAAAATAAATTAGGTACAGAAAGAAAGAATGCGTAGTGGGCTCCGATTACTTCGGCAAGGACACCGGGCCACGGCTTGGCACACTCACATACGAGGGGGACCTGTGGTGCCGTTGCGGTGCTCACGCGGTATTCTTTCCTCCTCGGCCGTGCTCTCTGAGTAGTGTGGGAAGGAATTTCCAACCCAAATTATCCATAGTGTGAACTTGGCTTTTTTTTTTTCCTCTTGGGGATTTTCTTTCTTGGTTCCCTTGTAACCCAGTCAGTCCTTTGAAGATGCAATTCTGGATTTTCTTAAGGCTGTTGACTGTTTGCAGGAAAGTCTGGGCCAGCTCCACTTTCCCTGTGTAGCTGAAAGAGGCTACATGCCCTTAGAAAAGAGGAAACCACCTTTTCCCAACGAGTGGCACAAAACAGATAACCTGAGTGTCTTTCTCTGGGAAGAGTAAAGCACTTCTGTGTACAAACCAACATTGATATTGACTCTATGCCTATTCATTCACTCAGGAGCCTTTGTTTTCATTGTTCTCATTAAGTGTGTGGGAACACAGTAGGCATTTGACTGTAATTCAGCTGGATTTTAGGGGATGGGGGGAGCTGTGCCTGTGCAGGAGAGGTCCAAGAGGTCAAAGAAGCCACAGGTATTTGTAGTAGAGCTGGGACCACAGGCCACTCACATGGGGACACCAAAAGCAAATTCAGAAGCTGGAGCTCTGAGAGTCCAGAGGAGGGAGCTCCTCAGACGGTTTCCAGAAAATGTGGAAGTGGAGGGGCTGGGTTTGGATTTGGGAGAGGATAATGTAACCCTTGCTGAGAGCTGCCGCTGAGCGCTGCGTTTCAGGGGGCAGTAAGAAGCCTACCTGGGTGAGACAGAAAGGCAGGTGTGTGGAGGGGGTGGATGGAGAAATGAAGCTTCGGTGGAGGTCATATTTTAGGCTTCCAATGCCTAAATCTGTGCTCAAACAGCAGCCAGAACCCATGGAATTTAATGTATTTCTAACTTAGATTTATCTGTATGTCCCTGTGTAGAGTTTGTTACGATAACCCATTGGTTAAAATGCAGTTCGAATTATGGCCAGTTTAGTTTCCGAATGCCACATTGAAATCAGCCTCAGACCTTGTTGCTGGTGGGTCTCATTGGGGCCCGTCTGCTCAGCCAGGCCCTGACCAGTGGCCACAAATGGAAGAGAGGAATTCTGCATCTGCCTGTCCAGAGCTGGGTGGAGCCGGACCTCCCAGTGTCCCCTGCCACACCTTAAGGCAGAGTCACACCTTTCTCAGCTAACCGGGTGTTGGCAAGGGGTGGTCTGCCTTGGCTGGGCTGTGGGGTGGGGGAGCTCAGAGGTCCCTGGACACACAGATACAGCCTAACCAACCTTCCCGAGGGACTGAAGTCTGAATTGGGCTACCTATTGTAAGCATTTGGGGGAGACGCCAGGGAGCCAGCCCTACTTAGGGGTCACTTAAGTGGGTATTTTTTAGTCTGTGATTTGTTGGTTTGGGAAGCTGAGGGGACTTTGAGTTTTAAAACGTACTTCCTCTAGGGCTAATGCTTTGGAAGGCTTGGGCAGCTTCCTTCAACCTCAGAGCACTTAGTAGAATACCATAGGAATAAACTGCTCATTTTAAATTAAAAACAAAGAAACAAACTCCTTTCCCCCATGTTGGGGCTTGTGACCATGTGGCGCATGCGGGCTGATGGGCTCCCCTCCCTGCTTCCCGGTGGGAAGCCGGACCTTCTTAGTTCGTCCTGGGGCCTGGCTCCTGGCTCAGGGCTGCTTGCCCTTTGCAGCAATACCCTTGACCCTCAGACAGGGCTTATTGGCTAGGAGAAGGGATATTAGGGTCAAGCTCTCTTGCTCCCAGCCCTGGCCTGATTTAGGACACGGGCGGTGGCCCAGACAGGGCCCCAAGCCCTGCCAGCTCCCTCAGAGACGTGCCTCTCAGTCCTGTGTCACTTCCTTCCTGTTTTGTGGCCCTTTGGTTTCATAATTTTAGAAACTCTTCCACAGCTCCGTGCATTCTTACTTCTTCTATTTTGTTTATTTTGGTCAAGTGTGTCCTGGAGGCAACGTGTTTCAGGAACTTCCTTTCAACGGTTGGCCTCCCCATCCCTTCAGGCCTTGGGGCTTCCCTCTGCACTGTTCCTGGTCTGACTCGGTGCTGTTTCTCTTTCACCAGAGTCCCGACATCCTCAGCACCATTGGCTACGACAACATCATCCAACACCTGAACAACGGCCGCAAGAACTGCAAAGAGTTCGAAGACTTTTTAAAAGAAAGGTACAGGCCATTTCCTCTCTGAAGACTGAATGCTTCCACGCAAACAAGGCACGATTCGCTACTTGTTTGTGATGGTTCACAACATCCTCTGCTGCAGGTCACCGAAGGTTCCCCAAGATGTAAATGATATCTCTGTCCTAAAGTTCGTAGAAACCAGTTGGAGAGATAAGATTCATGAAAGAAACTGCAAACAAAATATAATAAAACATTCAGTTGTGTGGTCTGCATGACACTGAGACACCTCATGAGAGAGAGGGCTTGGGGAGGACTGGCCATAAAAAGGGGGGTGGGTGGGTGAGAGCTTCATGGAGGAGGAGATCCTTGAGTATTTGATAGGTGGACGGGACCCAGATATCCGTGGGGGAAGAGCAAACTTGTAAATGAGCACAAGCCTGACCCATGTGAGTGGGGGGGTGTGGGGGGCCAGAGTGTGATTCAGAGACCCCTGGGGCTCAGAGAGCGGTGACAAAGATGTGGGGACAGGTCAGGGCCCTCCAGGTGGCAGTGGGTTTTGGTGGGGCCTGGGGGACTGGCATGCTTTAGAGGATCTTTTTTTTAATGAATAACATTTTGTTTTAAATCTATTCTTAATGGGTGGGTTAGTTTTGTGGAAACCGTGCTCACCTGGGACACTCCCTTGTGATTCTGGATGCGGGGGAGCTATAGGGGGAAGGGGGACATTTGGCCTAAAATCCAGGCCCCCAAACTAATGAGCTGCTTGTGTTTATCAGGCAGTGAGTCAGAGAGTCATAACTTAGAGATACAGACATCAAGGTGGTTTCAATCAAGTCTCTTATTTTCTTAAGATTTTATTTATTTATCTTTAGAGGGAAAGGGAAGGAGAGAGGGAGAGAAATATCAATGTATGGTTGCCTCTCATGCGTCCCCTGCTGGGAACTGGCCTGCAACCTAGGCATGTGCCCCGGACTGGGAATTGAACTGCGATCCTCTGGTTCGGAGGCCCGTGCTCAATCCACCGAGCTACACCAGCCAGGGCAAGTCTCTTATTTTCTACTCAAGAGAACATTAGGCAGCATTAAGTTCACACTGGTACCCTCCTGGGTTGGTGAAGCCTCTCTCCTTGAACTGACTCAAAGGTTTAAGGGGGCTGTCCTACTGTGCGTCTCAGAAGGGGCAGACAGAGAGGAATCTGTCCGCTGGCAGGCTTAAGTCAATGTCTGTGACTCATCAACTTCGGGCAGATAGGCAGGTGACTTTCCGGGAGGATGGGCTTGTTCCTTGCACAGAGAACTTCTCCATCTACCTTTTCTTTAGGTTTCATACACTCTCACTCACTACACCATTTTCTCTTTTCCAGCCAGACAGGTTTACTAGTGTGTGTGCTTCGGATGTCTGCCTCTACGTCCTTACTCCGTTACCTCCCGCCTAGAGTATCCTCCTTTGTCCTCTGTGCTTAAGTAAATTCTCCCCATCCTTCAAAGTTCAGGTCAAATTTTCCTCTTCTTTTCTTTGCTTTGAAGGGAGCATTCTACATTGCACTCTAGTCACCCAAGCCTACCAGCTCTCTGCCTCCAGAAACCCTAGTGGGGCCAGACATTACATACCGAGCTCCTGATCTGAGTGAGAAATAAGAAATAGAAAACTGAGAGGGTACTGCACCATACTGCAGAGAGTAGCTAGGGGCGACTAAATGAGATTCTATTAATAGCTGCCATTTGTTGAAGATTTACTAGGTACAAGCAAGGTATCATGTGCTTTGCATATGTTAGGTCATTTAATTTTCATAATAACCCTGTATGGCAAGTTTTATCATCCTTATTTTACAATGAAAAAACCTGAGGTTCAGAGAGGTTATGTAACTTGCCTAAGGTCAGACATGTAATAAGGAACAGATCTGGTTTCAAACTTAGGAAAGTTGACTCCTGGGAACCACCTTCATATACCTAGTATGGTACCTAATACATGCTAAGTGGTGGGTAAGTGGTGCCCGTTACTGATATTGTTGTATTAATTCTAGAAGATAGGTAAGATTAATATAACAATACACATCATCAGCTGCATTTTACAGGTGAGAAATCTGAGGTTTAATGCAGGTTTAAATGACTTGCCCAAGGTTACGAAAGCAGCGAAGTCATGGAGCCAGGACTTCCTTGATTTTTTTTTTAAAGATTTTATTTATTTATCTTTAGAGGGGAAGGAGAGAGGGAGAGAAACATCAATGTATGGTTGCCTTTCATGCATCCCCTGCTGGGAACTGGCCTGCAGGGAACCAGCATGCAACCCAGGCATGTGCCCTGACTGGGAATCGAACTGCGATCCTCTGGTTCGCAGACCTGTGCTTAATCCACTGAGCTACACCAGCCAGGGCCGCCAGGACTTCTATTAAGCCCGTGTCTGATGGTTTTTTTTTCCACTTTACTTCATGTTCTCCTGAGGTGGCTGGGCATATTTTCTGAAAGGGGGTTTCTCCAGGACCGTGGGGCCAGGTGAGCACTCTTCGTTGTGTATTGCAACACAGTCCTGAGTAGGGAGGAGGGAACGTGTGTGTGGAACCCCTTTGTGCGTGGACTTCTACACCACTGGAAGGCTTAGCAGCTACACCTGTGACTCGGGGACCCCCCACCCAGCTCCAGTGCCTTGGGACTCTGTTCTTCCTGTGAGCTCCTGTACTCACAGGAGTGTTTGCATGGTCCCTTCCTAAGGACAGGTCCACCTGCCCTGGTTACAGCTCTCATTCTGAGATCCCTATCTCTCAGGATGGGCTTTAGAATGACAGATTGCTGGGGTACGAATGACAGAGTTTCTTAGACAACAGTACCCTGCAATCAAGTTACAGTCAAGCCGTAATGCACTGTATGAATTTCCAGGGCTGCCATAACAAATTACCACAGGCAGGAGATAAACTGTCTTGTAGTTCTGGGGCCCAGAAGTCCCAAATCAAGATGTTTGCAAGGTCCTCCTCCCGTGAAGGCTTGAGGAGAGAATCTGTTCCATGTCTTTCAGGTTCTAGTGTTGCTGGCAATACTTGGTGTTCTGTGGTTTGCAGCTGCTAAGTCCAATCTCTTCTGTCCTCATATGGCATTATTCTCCTGTGTCTTCATACCCTCTTCTTACATGGATACCAGTCATACTGGATTAAGGGTCTATCATACTTCAGTGTAAGCACAACTAATTACATCTGCAGCAACCCAGCTTTTAAATAAAGTTATATTCTGAGATCCTGGGAGGTCAGACTTTGACATTTTTTTGCAGGGGCAGGAGGATAGGGTTCAATTCATAATGCATACCCAATCGAATGGGCTGGAAGCTGAGACCTACCATGAATTTCTGGTCAGCCCTGAGAAGGACTTACAAGCCTCTCTTCTGTTCCCCTTAGGGCATCAATTGAAGAGAAATATGGCAAAGATCTGCTCAGCCTCTCTAGGAAGAAACCATGCGGACAGTCTGAGATCAAGTAGGTGCCATGTTTCTTCCCAGTTTCCAGGTTGGCTCACGCTGCCAGGAGCCCCGTCACTTCAGCAGACAGAGCTGGCTGGCAGGGCGCCGTGTCTTCGATGAAAACAATTTTTAATTGTTTTTTTTTCTTATTTCCAGTTGTGAAAAAGATGGAAAAATAGAAAGAAGGTTAAAATGAACTATGATGCTAACAACCCATTATTAATATTTTCTAAGTTTTCTTTGAAGTCCCTTTCTATGTATACTTCCCCATAGGTGGGATTACACTACATATAATTTTAAACTAGAAATTTAGTAGAGAGGCTTATGTACACACATGCATACACCTGTATACACCTGTGTACATGTACATAGTTTGTGAGCTGCAAGGGACTGTCTTTGCACTGTTTTATCGTTGTCACCACCAGGCTGGGATTTCTGTACAACTGTTTATTCTTCCATCATTCCTGGCTTTGTGGGCAGTCAGTCACACAGGAGCCTACACTTAGAAAGGCTTCGTAATTGGCTTAATGCTCTTTGCTGTCACCCTGGTGAAATTCTAAATAATTTATAAGTGAGGAGTCCTATATTTCATTTTGCAGTGGGCCTCCCAAATTATGTAGCGGGTCCTACACATATGGAAATTTCTAGATTTCTTCTCCAAAACAAGTATGTTGGTGGGGGTGGAGGTGTTTGGGAGAACTAGCTCCGACTGAAAGACCGAACATTGCAGGCAGGCTTCTGCAGAACCAGTTCCACTGCACACTGACCTGCCCGCTGCTGTGGCTGTGCTGTAGGCAGCTGCAGGGAGGTCTGGGTACCCTCAGAGGTCTGACGGGGCAGGCAGGATGGTGTCTTTCCTCTTCTCTTTTCCAGCTTCTAAAACACATGTACCTACACACTCCCAGCCTTCAGAGTAATGAAAGGTGATGAAAACGCTGGGAGACAGTTAAAATATTAATAGTTTACGTAAGCCTAAAAATGTGTTATCCTCAGATGCAGGACATTAGTACAAGGACAGTTTGTGTTTTTGACCTATTGATTGTATTTTATTTTTGATGTTGTAAATAAAAAATTTAAAAACACTGAAAAGTAAAAAGATGACCATAAGGAACCCATCACCTAGATTTCATAATTATCTACCTTTGCCATGTTTTCTTAATATAATTTTGAGACTTTAAATTTAAACCTGGAATCAGCTATTTCTCAAAGTATGCTTAGTTCCTTTTAGTGATTAATCCATCATGTTTAGATATGAAACTTCAAGTTCATTGTCACAGAGGTATCCCTGTTTACAGGTCCTTTCAGGGGACAGATTTGAAAAGCATGAGTTCATACTGATATTTCCAATTCTAATTTCACTTTACAGGGTTTTACTTAACTTTCTTAATTTTATATTTATTTCCACTTAAATGAAAAATCTTCGTTCTGACAATATTAGTGTAGTTATTTGCTTTATTCAACAATACATATCAAAAAATTTCAAAATAATATCAATATTGCTATGAACAATAAAACTTGCTAGTAAAGTTTAACATTTCTTTGCAGTCCCTTCTGCCCATTGGCTGTACTTCACTAAGATACTGTACTATAATGTCACTTACAATATTTATTTTCTCTGTGTGATTATGTAACCAATTTCATAGTCGTCAAATTTGTTTGTTTTAAATTTTAGGAATTCTTTCCTTTTTCCTGTTTGCTTTAGTTCTATTTTTGAATATGTAAAACATTTACATCTCCACAGGTCAAAACTGCGGAGACTTGGATAAGTTAGTTGCACGGTTGTTTCAGCGGGGTTTAGATTAGTTCAAGGGTGCATTTGTTTCCATATGATGACTTTCCTAGTTCACTGTGTTCCTTGAAAAACTGTATCATAAGATGGGTAAAGTGTATTGAGAATGTGCAGTAATGTTTTTCTGCTGGGTGTGTTTGTAGTCATTGGAAATGTCTGTGCATATAAGTTCTTTGGCTTCTCCATTTCCTATACTATTCTTAACATCTTCCTGTCTATTTTGTACCTGCCAATTTGTACTTCTTAATCCCTGAACCTTTTCCCCCATTCTCCCTACTCCCCATCCCCACTGATAACCCTGTAGGTGAACTCCATATCTATGATTCTGTTCCTGTTCTAGTTGTTTGCTTAGTTTGTTTTTGTTTTTCAGATTCAGTTGTTGATAGTTGTGAGTTTGTTGTCATTTTATTGTTCATAGTTTTGATCTTCTTTTTCTTAAATAAGTTCCTTTAACATTTTATATAATAAGGGCTTGGTGATGATGAACTCCTTTAATTTTATCTTGTCCGGGAGGCGCTTTATCTGCTCTTCCATTCTAGATGAAAGCTTTACCGGATAATCTTGGATGTAGGTCCTTGCCTTTCTTTGAATACTTCTTTCCAGCCCCTTCTTGCCTATAAGGTTTCTTTTGAGAAATCAGCTGATGGTCTAATGGGAACTGCTTTGTAGGTAACTCTCCTTTTCTCTTGCTGCTTTTAAGATTTTCTCTTTATCTTTAACCTTTGGCATTTTAATTACGATGTCTTGGTGTGTGGTTCTCTTTGGGTCCAGCTTGTTTGGGACTCTCTGTGCTTTCTAGACTTGTATGTGTATTTCCTTCACCAAATTAGAGCAGTTTTCTGTCATTATTTTTTCAAGTAAGTTTTTAACTTCTTGGTCTTCCTCTTCTTCTGGCATCCCTGTGATTCAGATGTTGGCACTTTTGGAGATGTCCCAGAGTCTTCTTATTCTCTCCTCTTTTTTAAAAAAATTCTTATTTCTTCATTCTGTTCTCATTGATTGTTTATTTCTTCTTTATGTTCCAAATCATTGATTTTGATTTTGGCTTCCTTCCCTTCACTGTTGGTTCCCTGTGGATTTTTCTTTATTTCTCTTAGCGTAACTTTCATTTCTTCCCTTATGCTTTTGCCACACTCAGTGAGTTCTCTGAGTATCTTTATCACTAGTGTTTTGAACTCTGCATCTGATAGGTTGGCTATCTCCATTTCACTTAGTTACTTTTCTGGAGTTTTGTTCTATCTTTTCATTTGGGCCACGTTTCTTTGTCTCCTCAATTTGGCAGCCTCCCTGTGTTTGTTTCTGTGCATTAGGTAGAGCTGCTTTGATTCCCAGTCTTAGCATACCTAAGTTGTATGGGGCAGAGCTTTAGGTATTCACCAGTGTAGGGCAACCCGTTTCCCTGCTTTGTGGCTTTGTGTGTGGGGGCAGGGTCAGAGAGGACTCAATGCCACTACCTGGCTGCAGGAGGTTTGCTCAGCACTTGCCCTGTAAAATAACCTTTCTTCACATGAGGATTAAAATGCAAAACAATGGTAATACCCGAAACTTTCAATTTGGGAAAGGAGTGCCTGTCCTCCTAGGGGGAGTGCAGGCAGGCTGTTTCTCTTGGGAGGGGAAGCTAAAAGGGTGTGAGGGTAGATTCCATGACTCTTGATAAAGCAAGACTTGCAGCTGCGTCTACTGCCAGATCCATCTATGTTCCTCACTAATTCCTGTAGTAAGTCTGCTCATCAGCGATGCTCATTCATCCTTCCTGATGATTGGTGCACTTGTTTCGATATGATGACTTTCCTAGTTCACTGTGTTCCTTGAAAAACTGTATCATAAGATGGGTAAAGTGTATTGAGAATGTGCAGTAATGTTTTTCTGCTGGGTGTGTTTGTAGTCATTGGAAATGTCTGTGCAAGAAAAGGAGGGAGAAATAAGAACCCTTTGTTTTGGGATAAATGAGCAGAGTGGGAAAAGTGGGGTAACCAGAAGAGGCCTGCTGGAAAATACAAGGGTTTTTACTTTGCAAAATAGTAGAACTCACCACAGACATATGCATATGTAGAAAATGGACCATGGCCCTCTGCTGTGTGGCTAGGGGATTGTGAATTCATGACGTCCCATTTCTACTTCAGTGGCTGGAGTAGCCTAGGGAGCTCTGTTTCCATGAAGGCAGCAGTGAGCCATAAAATTCCCAGGGCCAAGTCACCTCAGAAGGAGTTTTTTGTGAGGCAGGGTGGAGGAGAACTGAAACCATGGCCAATGGGGCGTGTACAGAGGAAGAGCCCTGGGCTGGAAGAGAGAGGAAGGGGGAGACTGAATGAAGGTTTGAGTCATGGCCATACCCGCAGAAATTGTGAGATAAACGTGTATTGTTTTCAGCTGCTGAACTTGTTGTTGTTTGTTATTCAGCAGTAAGACACTAAAACAGTATGTGTCATATCTGTCTGCTCCATTGCATTCTGAGGCCTGTCCAGTACCACTGAATCACCAACACCTAACACAATGCCTGGCCCACAGCTTATGCTTGATAAGGGTGTGATGATTGATGAATGGATGGAAAAGGAGGTGATTGGGGCCCAAGTTTGTGGAAAATTAAGCATAAAAAATTTCGGCGTCTTGCTCTACCCAGGTGGACAGAGAAAAATTTGGGATGTGTATAAGGGATTGAAAGTGCAAGAAAGAGGAAACTGGATTGAAGTAGTCTGGGTCTTTTGCTGTCTTCTCAAGCTCAGGGGCAAAGATGAGTCTATAGGCTCTAAGTTACAGGCCAAGAGAAGCATGCAGTGGCATTCTAGTAAGACTTTACAATTTCCAGAACTTGAAATTATGTACGTACTTGTTTTTCAGTACCCTGAAGCAGGCCCTGGAAGTCTTCAAGCAGAGTAAGTGATTTGTGATTCTTTAAAAATGTATTTGTTATCCTTGGCAAGCTCTGTGCCTATCTTCAAAGGTGGGTTTTCATAGGAACAGCAATCTCTCATTGGGTGAAAAAAAATAAAAGCAACTCCAAAGGTGAGAAGGGGCTCTGCAGAGATGAAGGGAGCTGGAGAGCCCTCCACGTCTGCCTGTCGGGATGTGTGTTTGGCCTCCTCACAGCAGCGGTTCTCACACTCACTTGACGTTCAGGATGAGGCCCCAGCACTTTGGTCTTCAAGGGGCCCCGTCCAGTTCTAATATTCCTCAAGCCTGTTTTTCAGAACCTCCCTTTAAAGTTTTCTGTTCTTCAGAGTACCCGATGCTTCCAAACTAAGGATTTCACCAACATGTAGTATGTGCTCGAAGTGCTTCTGTAGGCGATGGGGTGGTTCTAGACCTTTGTCATGGTTAGCTAAGTAAACATCCATCTCAGCCTTTCCATAGAAGGCGTTCTCTTCCCTCTTTAACTCATCAGTGAATACGTTCCTCAAGATATGGACAGTATCTTTTCATTTTCTTATATGCACACAAGGCCAACTGTGCTGTGGCCCAATGGGACCATATGGGATCCATATGGGACTTCAGCATAGGCTGGGTCTCATATGAATATATATATTCACAGGCAGAGTGTGGCTTCCAGACCACACTCCACCTCCTGGGCGAGGTGGGAAGGGGAGGGTAAGAAGTGGAGGAGACCATGGTGTAGCCCAACCTCCCTGTTTTACAAACAGGAAACTCCAGAGCTGCCATTTTAAAAGGAGAAAGAAATATGTGTTTTTATGTAAAAATCTCCTGATTATTAGAGTTGGCAAGTAATTCAACTTTTCAAAAGAACACTGTTTGGCCAAGAACACTGTTTTTAGAGAAAGGGAGGGAGAAAAGAGAGAGAGAGAAACATCAATGTGTGGTTGCCTCTTGTGTGCCCCAAACTGGGGACCTGGTTCAGGTCTAACTGGGAATCCAACCGGCAAGCCTTTGGTTAGCAGGCCAGTGCTCAATCTACCAAGCCACACCAGCCAGGGGTCCTAATATTTGGTGTTACTTTACTTGTTGTCTGTTTTTCTAACAAGTTGTTTTATTGTATTTAAAATGTATTAAAAATTCAAATGAGATAACTAACGGGGAAGGAGATAGTAAATACCAGAGTTTTCATGTGTAGGTCTTATTTATTGTTTCTGTTTTCATTCTTTTTGCAGAAGTAGAAAGTGTAGCCCAATGTCACATTCAGCTTGCACAGACCCTAAGAGAAGAGGCCAGGAAGATAGAAGAATTCAGGGAAAGGCAAAAGCTACAACGGAAAAAGGTTGGGTTTGCATGTGTGTTACGATGCTGCCTTTCTGATGGTGGGGTACTCCAGGCTTGCTTGCACAATAAACCCCTTGGCTTGGTTCCCACCCAGGCTCTTCTTTGGACCTTGGAGATCATTTACTGGAGAACCATGTGGACACTCGTGGTTCTGTGCCCACTTGTACCCCAGGCCAGTTCTTTTTAAATTTTTGATGAACTCAGGGGTCCAGCCTGCTTTCCTCCTCTGTTCACATCTGTGACCACTACTGAAACTCTGACTGGGAAGGGGAACCCCTCTTTCTTCAGTAGAGTCCAGCAAGCCGAGCCGGAGGGCTCCCAGACCACACTCCACCTCCCGGGCGAGGTGGGAAGGGGAGGGTAAGAAGTGGAGGAGACTCACATTCTCCTCCGAGACCATGGTGTTCTCCTCCGAGAACAGTGTGGGTGTGGGCGTCTTTCTCTCACCGAGTGTAGGGCACGGCCAGAGGGACTGATATGAGAGGAATCACGATAAGGTGTGATGAGCCCTAAATGGTAGGGGAGGTCACGGTGCCACCGGAACACACAGCGGGGACGCCTAACCTCCCTGTTTTACAAACAGGAAACCTGAGGCCCTGGGAAATCCAAGTTCTTTTTGTCTTTAAAGCCGGCATGTATAAGCTTTTCTTCATTGATGGGACTAACTGTGGCCAACTGCATGGAAGGAGATGGGCATGAGCAAGTTAGTAAAGCTGCGAACATTTGGGAAGTTATAAAGATCAAGGGTTACTGAGACTAGACCAGCTGCTATTTGACTGCCTTCTATTTTGTTCTTAAAAGACTTGTATATTCAGGTTGGCCTGACAGCCAAGTAGGGCCCTCTCAGATTTTCTTTCTTTTTAATATCTGGTCTCCGAGGCTGGAACCTAGCTTCTCATGGGGACAAGCTCTCTCGAGTCTGGCATACAAAGATGTCCATTCAGGTCTCCACAGACAGCTCTGCATGGACTTTTTGGAAACCTTTGTTCATTCTGTCCGGACCATGGTCATTGTCTGCAGTGTGCATTAAGGTTGATGCTACCCAAACCTCAATCTCAGCAGCTTAGCCTGTGGTTCTATATCAGTCTGTCCCAGCTTCCTTGGTGGCCACTTGACATTTGGAGTGGGTGGCAGCATCTTAAGAACCAGTTGTCATTTCCTGAGAAGCTCTTACAGCTGCACCCCTTACTAGGAAGGAAGGTCGGAAACTAACATTTAAGGAACACCATATCAAGCACTTTCCTGCAAATTCAAGCTTCATGTTTCAGGTCTGAGGGCTCCATCTGGCCCAAAGTAGTTTTCAGAGCAGAAGTAGCGCATGTATTACACCCACCTACAGGATGGTCAGATGTTTAGGGCTGACATTGCCCGCCCTGCCCACCTCTTCAGAGGAATTACAAATTTTGAGAAGCTTGCCTTAGACCAGCAAGGTCTGTACACAAGATTTCCATTAAAAGGACGGGAGAGGTCTTTCCTCACATCTTCGAGTGCCTGGGTAACCCTGGTCATTTCAAAGAGAGTTTTGTTAGTTTTGCAAGGCTTCTGAAACTTCCCCTCGTAACTAGTTACAAAGAACACATTTTCGTAGCCAGGGGACCATGTTCTGAATTCTGTTAGGCAACAGGGCAGCCTGCACTCGACCCGGCGCTGGCATCCGAGTTCCCTACACACCCTAGCAGTGCCCCGGCCACAGCAGGAAAACGCCTTCTCAGCTTCCTGGGAGAAGTCCGAAGTTTACAAATACATTTGTAACTACTCCTGTCACAGTGAACTCTGGGTTGCACCACTTTTGAGTATAGGCACTTAAAAAAAATTCAAACTTCAAGGGAAAATATGTCAGTGCTAACTTCTCATTTCCATTGGTCAAACCTTGAACACTTTGGTCTTTCACTTCTTGGAAACTAGGCCATTTCCACTTATCAAGAAAAGCCATCAGTTGGTTTCTGTTTTTAAACAGGGGCAGGGAAGTGCATGTACAATGGCTGGACAGATGTTTTGGGTCCTGAAACACACAGTAAATGCTCGCTGAGGGTGGTGAACAGTGTGGGTGTGGGCGTCTTTCTCTCACCGAGTGTAGGGCACGGCCAGAGGGACTGATATGAGAGGAATCACGATAAGGTGTGATGAGCCCTAAATGGTAGGGGAGGTCACGGTGCCACCGGAACACACAGCAGGGACGCCCGACCTAATTTTGGGGGCTGGGGAGGCCTCCTGGAGGAAGTGAACTTGAAGCAAAAACCAACAGAGTGGAAGGCAATACAGGTGAGGGTGGTCAGAGATGAGGCTGTCACTCCTGGCGGTTGGCAGGTAGGGTAGGGTCTTCTCGGGAGTCTTGATATTTCAGGACAGTGAGGTTGCTTCCCCAACCCAGTACATCCAAAGCTCCACAGAGACAGCAGGTGGTCAGATACTCTCTCCTCTGGTCCCCACGTGGTTTTGCCAGGTCAGCTAAGATTGGAATGATCGTGGCAGAGCCTCATTCTGCCTGTGAAGAGAGCATCCTCCGAAGCAAGGAACCTCTGTGGTTACGGAGAGTGACACTTCCAGTTTTCAGAATACAGTCCGAGTGGGGTAACAGACAAACAGGTCACTAAGCAGCTGTTTATGTGGTGAGGGGAAGGTCATTGGCATCATTTAGTGTCTCTTCTTCCTTCTTTCCTCCCTCTTCCTCCTCCCCACCCTAGAGCAGGGATGATTGCATTTTTGCTCTACTTCCTGTTATCAGTAATAAAACAATCAAATTGCACTGGATTTGGTCTGAGCGGAAAGTCCGAGTCCCAAAAGAAGCACTTTCCCAAGGAGACCTGAAGGAGAACCCTTGACTTCCTGGGGCCTCCACGAGTGGGGTCACCCTACAAGTGAACCTTGGACATGAGGACACTTAAATCAAGGTGGTATAGCAGACAGAGCAGGTCTTGGTGTCACTAAGTGGCCTTGAGTGTGACCTCTTGGGCTCCAGGGGTCCTATGAGTCAGGTGAGAGAGTAGGATTGCTCTCTAGGGTCCTGCTGATGCACAAATGCCGGGAGTCCTTGAAGGCAGATAGAGGAACCACATCAGGTGAAAAGGTCTGGCTCACAGAACTTTGTGGCCATGGGAGAGGTGCTGCAGCAGGTGTCACGTAGACCTCAGGGACAGGGAGGCCTGGCTTGGGCCATAAACTAGAAAATAGCTGCAGCTCCCACACGGGAAGCACATGGTGGCATGTATCTTCGGACTAAGGAGGCCCATGGTGTAGACCACCAGTGCTAACTGATTTGCTGCACGGAGGCTGGGAAACTCAGGAACCATTATTAAATAAATTGAACTAGCTCCTCCTCTTGGCAGAGGCCCATCCAGGGGCCTGTGGACCACACAGCTCCCAGCCTGCAAGGGCAAGGATCTGCCCATGAGTCCTTCTGTGTGGGGATCATGTGGGGGCCCGGTCTGTTCTCTTGGTTTATTGTATCCTCACCATGAGTGGGGTGCATGACTACTCCCGATCCGCCCACCTCTTTCAATGGGGCTGAAAAATGATGCCTCCGTTCTCTGAGGGCCTTCTGGGTCTCCCCCAAGGGAATTTCTTGTATTCTGCAAAGTTCATATTTAAAGGGAGACCATCCCAAATATTCTATCCAGATATCTTGAAAATCTTTGTGTATAATAATAACAGACAGAAACTTAGTTTTCTAGAAGAGAAACCACATTTGAGTTTCATTTTCAATACTATTTTGCGTTATATTATTTTGTATAAAAGCAAGGTCATAGCTCGTTTTCAATGATTACATCTCTTGGTCTTCTGTGCACCCATTTGTTTTTATAGAGCCACCATAAGGAAATGGTAGTTCAGGGCCATAATTAGGAACTAGGGTACAAGCATCAGATTTCTGGGTTCCAATCTCAACTCTACTACTTGCTGCATGTTACCTTTGGTAAATTAATCCACTCCAGTTTATCATCAGGAAAATGGGAATAAGAGTATAAGGTTATTGTGATGCACGAAAACTGCTTAGCACATAACAATGTTTGATAAAGGGGAGCTACTATTATGTCTGAGGTACATTTTTATTATTGGCCACATAATTTTGACTAGCAAGTGTATTCAGGGCACAGCCACAACAAAGAAATCGCTCCCAAGCAAACTCAACAGAGTAGCTTGCCTTTCCCGGGTTCGGTGGAGTGAAGAGTCAGGTGGAGAACAGCTGCTTGTAGCTGTCCTACACACATTTCTGCCCCTCGTCCTGCCCGGGCGTCTTGCTGGTTCCGAGTGTGATACTGATGGATGCTGCAGAAGTGAATGTTTCTAAGTCTCTAATTTCACTGTGCTGACACAAGCTTATAGTAAAAAGACCCCCTTTAAAATATAAGTGGCATTTGAACAAAAGTTTGAATTGTCCCTTTTGACACTGAAGTTCCTGCAGATTCCAGATTTGCTGAAGAGACTGACTATTCTGTGGTGATCAGTGATCCTCAGTGACGGCTGCCCAAGTTCAAAGATGGACTCCACCATTAACCAGCTGTAGGACCTTGGGGAAATTGGTCAGCCTCTTTGCTACAGTTTCTGCATTTGTGAAATGGGAATGAGCAATAGTATATCTACCTTCTGGGTTGTGTGAGGACTCAGTGAGATAATCCATCTTGAACCTTTGCCCTCAAGATAAGATAGTATTAGTGATCATTTCTGTTTTTATTATTAATAGTGCTTGTGTTCTCTTCACAGACAGAGGTTGTAATGGATGCTGTCCATAAACAAAAGAGCTTACAATTCAAGAAAACCATGGATGTGAGTTTCACTTTATTGCCCTTTTCTGAAATCCTGTGTTGTGTTTGAGCATATCCCTACTCAAATAACATTTCTATGGTATTTACTACTGCAGTGATTTTTTTTTTAATGAGTTGACTTTCCTTCTTTTTAAAGCCTCGGAGATATTGAGGATGAAACTAGATAGTGCTAACACAATGATATTATCTTTGTGGTAACCTGGAAAAGTATAGCAAGTTAATTTAAATATTTCAAGCCAAGACACAAAATTGTACATACCATATCATACCATTTATCTTGTTGGATTTGAGTTTGCTCCCTGTGACTATTCTGAATCTTGACTTCTTAACCCATTTTATTGAGTGACTCCTTTCTGTTTTAAGATATTTGCTAATTGTAAAAGCCTTTTTTACTTTAAGTAACTTATTTTTAAAAATCCGTCCTTAACAGGATAGAGCTAAGACAGCTTGCTGGGGACCTCACACTTGCTTTTCATGGATCTGTTAACTTTGGATACAGTGAATTCTGTTATTGCAACATCGATGGCTCCATCTTTGCCCAGAAGTAGCATCATGATATTCTATGACTATGATGTAATATTTTTTAACTTGGTCAAAAAAGAAAAAAATCACCAATGTTAATGCCTATATGCAGTCTGTTCTCTGCCATTTTTTCCTTTGATGCAAATCACCTCAAAAGCAGTTGATAAATAGGGAATGATGTCAGTTTAATGTAGAAATTGTGTTGATCGATACGTGATTGTTCTCAGACCTTTTATGTTTTGAACAACCTTGGTCAAACTTTCTCTCAATTAAAGAGAAGGCCTTATTCAGATATAATTTAAAGACTATTTTCTTGCTATACATTTGGAGCTATATGTGTTATAATTTTGCTTCAGCTGTCAAAAATAATTTAGAAAACTCAAGAGAAGGAAAAAACTATTTTATTTACCCATTCTTTGCTTAGTGTGTTTTTTTCCTTCTGATGTTCTAAGTTTTCTTCTGTTATAATTTTTTTGTAACTCCCTTTAGCTGTTTGTCAAGATAGGTCTACTAGTGACAAATACACTTAGTCTTCCTCCATCTGAAGATATCTTGATTTCACTTTCATTCTTAAAGGATATTTTCACTGGCTATAGGATTGTGTTGACAGTTCCTTTCTTTTAGTACTTGAAAAACGTTGTACCGCTTCTTCATGATCTCCTGAATAACTGAGTAAAAATGACACCATAAAATAAAAAAAATTCACTGTCGATCAAATTGATTTTTTCTTTTCTTTTTAGTTTTTACATGTTCATCCATGTGTTTTATTATTGGTTTGTTTGGGTTTCTCTTGTTTGGAATTTGAATAAGCTTCTTAAATCCATCTTTCGCCAAATTTGGAAAGAAATTTTGAAAATTAGTTCTTTGAGAACTTTTTTAGCCCACCCTCTTTCTCTCCTGGGATTCTAAGGATGTGAGTGTTTGACCTTTTTTAAAATAGTGCCAAAGGTCCTTGTGTCTCTGTTCATTTTTTTCTACCTATTTTCTCTTTCTTGTTCAGATTAGGTAATTTATATTGTTCTGTCTTTCAGCTCACCACTTCTTTCTTGTGTCTCTTCTGTTTTCTTCTTAAGCCCATCCATTGAGTTTTAAAATTTTCAATTATGAGCCCTGGCTGGTATGGCTCAACAGATTGAGCAACAGCCTTCAAACCGAAAGGTTGCTGTGTTCGGTTCCCAGTCAGGGCACAGGCCTGGGTTGTGGGCAGTGTCCCCAGTTGGGGGCATGTGAGGGGCAACCAACTGATGTTTCTCTTTCTCTCATTCTCCCTCCCTTCCCCTAGCTCTAAAAATAAATAAACAAAATCCAAACAAATTTCAGTTCTTACATTTTTCAGTTGTAAAATTTCTATTTGGTTCTACATAGCTTCTATTTCTTTCCTGATATTTTCCATTTCTTTACAAGACACTATATTTTTATTTGTTTCAACTGTGTTTGTAATTGCCCACTGAGTGTTTTTATGATGGCTGCTTTAAAATATGTCAGATAATTCTAACATCTCTGTTCTCTCGAGTTTGGCATCTATTGATGGCCTTTTTCATCCACTTTGAGGTCTTCTTGGCTGTTGGTATGATGAGTGATATTCCACTGATTTTGGAAATTTAGGTAGTGTTAGAAGATTGTGGGTCTTTTTTAAGCCTTCTGTTTTAGCTTGCTTCCTTTGACACCACTGCATCAGGGGGAGGTGACGCGCTGCCTTGTTGTTGCTGCCTGGGGGTAAAACTCTAGGTACCCACAGGATAGGTGTGGCCTTGTTACCACTTGGAGGTGGTTAAAGTCCTGACTCTCCACTGGACCTCCTCTGACACCACCCCAGCAGGGAGGGGTGCACCTCATTATTGCCAGGTCGGGGGGAAGTCCAGGTTCCCTACCTAGTTTCCACTGGCATTGCATGTGAGGCTTTGATCACTTCTAGTGGGAATGAAAGTCCCAGTTCCCTATTTGGTCCTCTCTGACACCACCTGGATGTGGGAGTTGGGCACTTCCTTATAGTTTGGTGAGGGTGGAGGTCTAGACTCCCCACTTGGCCTTTGCTGGTTGTGTGGAGGTGGGGCCACAGATTTTTTTTTTAATGTGGTGTTTGGCTGCAGTAGAATTAGTTCTTCTTAAGGGATTCTGTCCTGCTAGGCTGCTTATTTTCTGGTCTTTTGGGTAGAGAGAGCAAAGTTTTGTTGGGACTTTTTTTTTGGTCAATATCTATTGGCATTTCTTGGTTGCTTCCTTCTTTGGCTCAGTCTGTGATATATGAGGCTGAAGAAAAACACAGGTTACTCACTTGTGGGTTGCTCTTGTGAGACCAAGGTCATTAGCCAGTCTGTCTTTCCCAGGATCTTACATAACCTTTTAAAGAAAGTATTTTGTGATATTTTCAGAGCCATAAATATGATCATAGCACATTAATCTTATGCTAAGAATGTAAGACTCTATTTTTAAGAAATCAACAAAGTTATGAACTTGTTCACTAATAATGAAGATTGTAAATGATTTAGGGGCCAAAAAATGGAAAGATTAATTTTGTAACCTTTAAAAATATGTTTATGAGCACTATGTAGTGACAGAGAAAAAATGCTTAATATGTCATATTAAAAAATAATGCAGATAGAGAAGAATTGATCACTAACAACATTAACATTGAAGACTTCTCTAGAACGAAGGAAAAAATGCGTCATCCTATACACAGCTTTAAGACAGATGACTAGTGAAAAATTATTTGTGACTTATACAGCCAATTAGTATTTCTGTTCTAGACTGAGCTCTTAAAAACCAACTAAAATAAAAAATGCTCCAGTGGAAAAGTAGGTAAGACATGCTGTAGAGAGGACATACCACCTTAGCAGGAATGAAATAAATAAAAATAAAACAAAATATGCCAACATTCTCACCTCTTGCATTAGAAAGGTTAAAAAAGATTATCTAAACTTGGCGTTGGTGAGCAGACACTTTTGGTAGGAGTATAAACTTGAGCAGCTATTTCAGAGGGAGGGCTGATATGTACGTACTGTTTTACCAAACAGTTATACTTCTAAGAATTTGACTTGAATGGATAAATTCACGCTACCCAAAACAAAATCAGAATATTTTTATGTCATAAAATGGAAAGTAAGATAAATGTCAACCACAGAGTGGGTAAAAAAAAATTACGCTGTGTGTTTATTTACAACTATTACCAGTGTTCAGCAATAGAGCCCCGTGCTGGATACAGAGGTGTGTCCATAACATACTGTTGCAAAATAAAATAATTATTGCATGCATATTTTAGGTACTTGCAATAATTAAATGTTACAAACTTTTATTTCCATGTGTGTGTAGCATAGAGAGAGAGTTGTAAGGTTGTTCACTGAAAGGTTAACCCCAACTGAATTGCAAGGGATGCTGAGAAATTTAGGGAAACATGTGAAGTATTTAATGAGCACAAACCAGCTCTGCGAGAGTCTTCAATCTTTTGGGGGTTTTTTTTGTTTGTATTTTTTACTTCTTCGCTAACTGAGTCACATCTTTGCTTTGTTTACACAAGCTAAAACTTTGCTTCAGTAGCTGAAACAGAAAATTAATTGGTTAACTACCAGAGTTTTGTGAACTGTTTCCATACTACTGGCCTGCCTTTATTATTTTTAAAAATATTTTATTTATTTTTAGAGAGGGGGAAAGGAAGGGAGAAAGACTGGGAGAGAAACATCAACATGAGAGGGAAACATCAATCAGTTGCCTCTCATATGCACCCCGTCTGGGGACTGAACCCTAAACCCAGGCATGTGCCCTGATCGGGAATCAAACCAGCAACCCTTTGCTTTGTGGGACAACGTCCAACCAAGTTACACCAGTTAGGGCTACTAGCCTACTTTTAAATGAGCTAAAACTGAATAATTTATATCAAAAAGGAACATGACTATTCTTAAGCAACAGATATGATGGATGCCACTGTCCGATGTGCAATGGTGAGGCACATTCGAATATTGAAGTATAATTATAATTACCATGACCAAGCAATTGCACCTACGTTCTGAGGATTATGAATGTTGGATTACATATTTCATAGTTATGTAGGTCATCTGAAATGCTGTCTTTTGCTCTGGTCAGTTTTTAAAGCCCATGTAATACTTTGCTGAATAGGACTTATCATTTCCTTGATCAGGCTGCCACTTCATACATACTTTGGGAAAGGGCTCTAGAGATCCACCAAAGATAGATAAGAAAGAGCATCTGTCTTCTGAGTGGCCACATTCTAGTGGTGATCACAGCCCTGTGGTGCAGGGCGCCCTGTCTTTCAGGGGACTTGGCAGGCTGGGTGGCTGCTTTTCAGGGCTGTGTTCTGCTCACCTAATTTTGTTCTCTTTTGGCTCATGACAACCAAGGCAAAGAAGAACTATGAGCAGAAATGCCGAGACAAAGATGATGCAGAGCAGGCTGTCCACCGCAGTGCCAACCTGGTCAACCCGAAGCAACAAGAAAAGGTACCCGGGAGCGCTGATCAGCTGAAACATCTGAGCTTTGCTCTATGAAGCTAACACCAATTAATAATCTTAATTTAAAATGGACCTGCACCCTAAGCTTCTGGCAAGGAAGCTTCTATCTTCCTTTAAGCTATTGGAATCCTCTGAGCCAGAAAGACCCTTGTCACGTTTTGAGGGTAGTGGAAGAGCTAGGGAAAAGAGGCCGTGGGGGAGGCAATGGGGTGATAAGTTGGGAAAGGGTCTGGGTTTTGTTTTTTTTTTCATCTTTCTTCAAACTCATGTATTTTTTGGAGCCAGGCTACCTCCTGCTTGGGTGTATTATAAATTTAATTTTATAAAATCTGGACATAAGATTGCCAGCAACTGGAAGGCAGAGATATGCCTTTAGGATGACCTAGGGCAAGATGCTTGGTGGATAGTTTTCAGTCAAGGTAAGATTAGAAGGCGAGGTGAATGATTTACTCACGAGAGAAACATAAGACTTTCGCTAGCCCTAGCCTCTTCACAGTCATTGTTCTTAGGTGTGTTTTGCCTATAGAATCCTGGCCCAGCATTACTGAGCCCCCATTCTCTTTTGTCCTTGCAGCTCTTTGTGAAACTGGCATCTGCGAAGACGGCACTAGAGGACTCTGGTGAGGGATGGGGGAATGTTGCGGTGGGGTTTACATTATCCTAAATCTGCTCGAAAAAGGTAGCTTGGTACACCCTACGATGTAGACTATAAGGATGTACAACAGGATTTCAGGAAGGAGAAACAGGGAGGAAGCAAGGAAGGGAGGGAGGGAAGGGGAACAGCAAGGAGGCAAATGAGGCAGCAGTTTCTGGCCACTGCCGGCTTAGTTTGGCTGCCTCATGTGTGTAGAATGGCGATGGTAGAGCCAGGTGGCAGCTGCTTTGTAATCAGGGGCTCACTCTTTTTTTGGAACATTTATTTTAAAAGTTTGTTTCAGCCCGGATTAACTCTTATCTGCTTTGAAACAAACAGCCAAGTTGCAAAGCCTTGTCACCATTGAAATCTAAGATCCAAACCAGGTGTTTGCAAAGGCTTTTAACTCCCAGAGTATCCTGCAAAAAAATAAACCTCTCTCGACCATGGTCACTTAGGACGTCTCTAAGTCCCAAGCTAAAGTAACTTGGTGCCCTTCAAGGCTCAAGGTAGTTCTCTGACTCTCTCCTCGGATAATTTTCCTGGAAAGGGGTGGAAGTTGTTGAGGTTGAATTAGACGAAGAACATCTTGGCCAGGGTTCCTCGTCTGCTTTCACTTCTCCTTTCTTGGATCATTTCCTGCTAATTGCTTGGTTCGGTTCTTATTTCACGAAGGTATTATGAAGGTGAGAGATGTAATTATGGCCTTGCAACATTCAGGGCTCACGGAGCCTTGTGAACTCACTGCGAGTTTCATTTGCCACCTGGGATGAGCCTGAGGGGTGGGTCTGCGGCCCTCCTGCCCCATTTCTGAATCCAAGCCCCTCCCCACTATTGCAGACAAGACCTATATGATGCAGATCAACACATTGGATAAGGTCCGAGAAGAGTGGCAGAGTGAGCACGTCAAGGCCTGTGAGGTAACCAGACCTGGGAGCTGCTGAGCGGGAGCGGTCCTCCTTGGTTTTCCCAGATCCTCGTTTTCTGTTTCCTCCCTGTCCTGACCCTGCTGCGTAACTCTGTTCGAGGTTCACCTGTAATGTTCCGTTAGTGCAGGCAGGACACAGATGAATCCGTTAATGGTTAATTAAGTAATTACCTTCAGAGGGCTCCCCTGCTTTTGGTATGCAATAAGGAAAATGCAGACAGCAGGTGAGCAGGTTTAGAATATTTTATCCCCCAATACCTTTGATTTTACCATTGTCCCCCTTCATTTTCAGTACATTATATCATTTACAATTTCCTGGGAACTTCCTCAATTTTCTGTCACCCTCTCTACATATTTTTTTTTATCAGTGATTCTCAAAGTGACGTCCCAAGACCTGTAGCCTTAGCGTCACATGGGAACTTGGCAGAGACTCATATTCTCAGACCAACCCCAGAGAGTCAGAAACTCTGGGAGTGGGCCCAGTAACTTCCGTGTGATTCCAATGTGCCTTCGAACACAAGAACTACTGGCCTACTCACATGCCTTCCCTTCTTTTCTCCTGATACAGTACAAAAGGGGCTGCTCCTGTCCTATCAAGATCTTCTCCGCCCACCTGGCCTCAGGGTCCCACGCAGCTGCCTGTCCCCCATTGCTGTGTGCACAGCAGCTCCCTTTACTGGGGAGTTCTTCCATTATCATGTGCACAAACTTGGCTCATTCCTGGCATTAACACCCAGCAGTTATTGCTTCCCATCTGCTACCCACTCCTCTCTTTTCAGCCAGGCTTCTTGAAGGAGCCGTCTGCACATCCTCCTTGCTCCTGCCTGCCCCAGCCTGCTGTGTGTGGGGCTTGCTCCCCTGCCCCTGCTCCCTCAGAGGAAGCAGTGATCCCCTGAGTGTGAAGTCCAGTGGACTGTTGCAGTTTCTAATCTTATTTGGCCTGTCTTTACCATCTGATACTGCGGGTCGCTGTCTCCCTCCTAAAACACTCTTTTTGCTTTACTTCCTTGTCTCCACGCTCTCATGGAAATGCCTGGAGGAAAGCCATTTTTATAAGGTTTAAGAACATGTAAAAATATGATATACATCTTCTGGGTACATACATATTATAAAAACCTGCACGGGAGTGATAACATTTAGGATCATGGTTCTCTCTGGGGAAGGAGGAAGGTGACAGAGATCGGGAAAAGCACACAGGAGCTTTAACAGAATCAGAAGGGGACATGGGAAAAATCTTTGACAAAGCTGGGTGGGGGGTACATGGGAATTCAGTACACTATTCTCTCTACTCTTATGTATGTTTGGAATTTTACATTATAAAAAGTTTTAAGATGTAATATGGTTGTATTCAACACTTTTAAAAATGCATTCATATATAACATTCACTGTTGAATAGCATAGCATCTACTTTATAGAATAGCTTGATTTTCCAAAAGTTGATATTTGTTTATATTAAAAAATGATAGTTTAGGTGGTAACTTAAAAAACTTTTAATTAAGACAAATTTCAAACATATACAAAGATTAGAAGACAAGCACAAAGACCCCCCTGTACACATCAACTAGCATCCATGGTTATGACCATCTTCCCAGTCGAATTCATTCATTGCTGTGTGTGGGGCGGGGAGCAAAGTTTTGAATCGGAGGCTCTGGCCGACTGCCTCAGTGGAGATGCCCCCAAGGAAGTTGGAAATGTGAGCTGGAGTTCAAATAGAACCTGGTGTCTGGGCTCATCATCACCTCTTACCCTCAGAATTGTATCCCCTTCTGTTTGTGCAAATACTGTATTGGAATCCACTTGCACTCTTTGCCTGCTGTAAGAGTTTGTGAGCTTCCTTGATGGTGAAGGGAGTACCCTAAATTGACCATAAACTCGCATAATTGAAGGGTGACACTGTTTCTTAAGACAGAGCCAGTCTAGACCAATGGCCTCTTTCTCTGCATATGTATTTATGTATGGTTATGTTTCTCTAGGTGTTTGAAGCTCAAGAATATGAACGAATAAACTTCTTTCGGAATGCATTGTGGTCACACATGAATCAGCTATCGAAACAATGTGTCACCAGCGATGACGTAAGTCAGAGGCATCTGTGGAGGATTTGTGAGAGTGGAAGGAACTGTAGACATTTATTAGTTCACCCCTCTCGTCTGAGGCCCAGAGAGGTACAGAGACTTGCCTAGAGCCACACAGTGGATAGAAGGACCCAGATAAGCAAGCACCTAACCTGTCTGACTCCTGGTCTATTTTACCACCACACTTTTCTCTTTAAGAAATTCAGAGCAGGAGGACAGAGAGGGAGACTCCAAAACAGTTTAATTAATGGAATACAGAGTTGTTACAGCCTGAGTGTGAGTCCCAGAGGGTCTGTCACTCCAGGACAGCACCAAGAGCCAGCAGACTGGCCCATGGCCATGCTAGTAGTGGTCACTCCAGGGTTCAAGATTTACTTCAGTGACATTCCTGGGACCATTTTCCAGGTTTAATTTGTTCACAGCAATCCTTGTAGGGTCCTGGGTCCCAGAGGGACCAGAATCAAGTTATCACAGCCTTCTTCGCTAAGAAATAGCCATCCTCACTTATATGAGACAGTCACTCTAGAAGAACAATTAAGCACAAAGAAAACCTGTGAGATTGAATGGAAGAACTTGTCTCCAAGTGATTATCTTTGTGTTTGTGTGTGGCCTTGGTCTCGGGACTTGGTATCTGTTTACTTTTAATGAGCCATGTTACCTGTGTTATGGCCCCCCTCTACCTTGATGTATCTTCTTTTTGTTAGATGTATGAAGAAGTCCGCAAGAGTTTAGAAATGTGCAGCATTGAGAAGGACATCGAGTACTTTGTGACTCAACGGAAAACTGGACAGACTCCACCAGGTGAGTGGAGCAGCGGGGCCGGGGGGTTATGTAAGCAACTCTATTAGTCTTTCTTGTCATGTGTTGTTGACAGTAGAAGATACATGCTGGTTCATGTTTCATTTCTTGATGATTCCCCTAGCGCCCATCATGTATGAGAATTTCTACTGCCCCCAGAGGAATGCAGCCCCACAAGGAAAGGCTACGGCGCCGAACTTGGCAAGGTAATGACCAGCTTTCTTTCACATGCAGAAAAATACTTTTAATAAACACTATTTATCATTAGTGTTCTGTTCTAAGACATTACAATGGAAACATAGCTACCACTGCATTTGCTTAGGGAGGTTGCTAGATTTTTGGAAATAGTGATTTTAGGACAAATGTGAAATGGATTTTACTGGTCCTAATTCGGGGAGAACATTATCATGCCTGTGTATGGATGTTATTATTCACACATGAGTCCTCTACCTTTCTTATGGCCCGTAGAGAGCAGGAGTCAGCAAGCTCTGATCTCCCTGTTTTGATAGGGCCTGTGAATATTTTAATGGTTGAAAAAAATGGACAGAATACTATCTTGGGAAGTGGAAATTACATGAAATACAAATTTCAGTGTTTGTCTATGAAGCGTTATTATAACGTGACCACACTCACTTTTTTACATTCTATCTATAGCTGCTTTCATACTGGTGTTGACTAGAGGCACAACAGATGTGATATATGGCCAGCAAGCCTAAGTCACTTACCACGTGGCTCTTCACAGAAGAGTTTGCTGCCCCTGACATAAAAGATCCTGCGAGAAGAGGAACTTTCATTTTATATACAGCCATCTTGAAGTTTAGGCTGTTGAATTTTCAGTCCATTATCTTAGAAAGATAATGGGGTGTTTGGGGGGGATGGCATAATCATCACCGCTGTTTAAGAATGCCAGGCACTGTTCAAAACAGTTCCTATGAATTAGCTCTTTTAATCCTCACGGTGAGGTAAGAGCTGTTGTACTTCCCATTTTGCGTGTGAGCGTGCGATGTACAAGGAGATCAGGGAATCTTGCCCACACAGCTGAGACGTCCCCGCTGCCAGTCTGGGTTTTGGGGGCGGGGCTCCGTGCTCCCGACCACATGCATCTCCCTCCTCAGTGCAACAGAATACCCACAGGCCTTTGGCTTCATCTGAACTTTTTTTTTTTTTAGATTTTATGTATTTATTTTTAGAGAGAAGGGAAGGGAAGGAGAAAGAGAGGGAGAGAAACATCCGTGTGTGGTTGCCTCTTGCTCGACCCCCCACTGGGGACCTTGCCCACAACCCAGGCATGTGCCCTGTCTGGGAGTTGAACTGGCGACCTTTTTGTTCCCAGGCCAGCACTCAGTCCACTCGGCCATACCAGCAGCCACACCAGCCAGGGCCATCAGAATTTTTCTTGACCCTCCAACACAGAAACCAGATCTGATGGGAGTGCAATATGCTTGTTGTGTAATGTGGAAAATTAGAAAAACAAGAAGTTTTCTGAAAGATTTTGGTTTTCGTTTCTTACAGGAGAGGGCCTCTCCCGATTCCTAAAAGCTTACCAGGTACGCTGCCAAGAAAGACATGGGAATGCTTAAATCAGGCTTCCTTTAAGGTGGGGTAGCTGGAATTCTGAAATAAAGGGAAAAAAGGGAATAAACAGAATCAAATTCCTGAAAGAATGTCTGTGTTAGAGTCTTATCATAGTAACTGTGTGTCACAGGGCGGAAACTGGTCATTTGTACCTATGCTTTAGCTAATCCAGGAGAATTTAGCTCCTGGAGGACCAAAGAAACTTCTTACAAGTCAGTCTTACTTAAGAGATTATTTCATTTTGGACCATGAGAACAGAAGAACTGAGACATAGTTTCCTTTGGATTACACAGAAATATAATTTATAGAATGTGTAGCTGTCTAGAACCATGTAACTTAATACTGCATATTTTGTGCATTGCCCATAATTGGATCTTTCACTAATCACCAGGCTCTTTTTCTTCTGTGAACTGTTATCATACCTTGGGAGAACCACGTATTTTAGCCTTTTGGTTAGTTCTTTGGGTAATAATAAAATCCTTGAGGGCAGCCCCTTTGTTTTTTCCTGTATGACTCACCATACCTAATACAGTGCCAGGCACATAATTCTCCTTGACAATGATTTGAATAAGAGAAAGATCTACCTGATTATGTCCAAGGGAATGAGGGAAGAGACAGCTATTGCTGCATTTAGCAGCTTAGCAAAAATTTAGTGACTGAAAATTAGTGGCTGCAATGACATCTTTGAACAATGTAAGGATTTACATTATTTTACTTCTTGTTGCCTTGTGATTACTTGACAATGTGGGACTTGTCGTCCATATTTCAAGATGACTTTACCATTGGTGCTGCTGTCTGGGCATGGATGAAAAAGGACAAAGAAATCAGAATAGGGATTTCCAGAAGATTCTCTGGTTTGTAGTCATGGCTACCATTTGTAGGTTTTGTTGCGAGACACATTTTCTTCTTACAAAAGGGCAGTCTCTAGAATCTCTGAGTGGAGCGCCTTGATTTGAAAGGGCTGAGACCGTATGAACAAATGTCAGCTTCATGTTGCTCTGTGTCCCTATGCAGATGACCCGGATTATTCTTTAATCGATGGCTACAGTTTGATCTACCAGTGACAACGATGGTAAGAGCCTTCAATTTTCATGTCATCAAGTTGCATTTAGATTGGTGATAGTATTTTTGAAGCCCTTGGTGCTTCTTTGTACGCCCCTGAAGCAAGCGAAGCCTTGCATCAGGCTGGCGTGCTGGTGGGCGTGGTCTTCCTGCGAGATGCCTTCTCCAGATCCCACCACTGAGAGGGGACTGAAGACTACTCCACACCTATTTGAATGAGAGTATTTTTCCTTCATTAACTAGTCGGCAACTCTTTACCTTACTCTCATTAGGCTCTTCTGTGGCCATTACCCACCCACGTTAAAGGCAATGCTCATAATCACCTGTAGACTGCCTGAATACACGAAAAAAACTTTTGATTGATAATAAATTTAGCTAATTCTAGGAAAAAAATAAGGGCAATGCTCCAAAACAAAACACACCTGATCCTCCCTTCTGCATCTCCCAAAGGGGAAAAGTCAAGAAGTCAATAGAAATAAGGCAAATGATGTTACACTCACCAGACACACAAGGGCATCACAGGGCTCCTCTGGCACCAGATTGCTACTGCTCTGAGCTCGACAACCACAGAGATTCCTGGAGTAGAACTACTAGGTCAACCACGGCTGCACACATGGTGCTTACTCTTTGGCATTTGAGTACTTGCAACATGCCCAAGTCCCTATCAGTCTTCACAAATGTTGAGGAATACCTCCGAAGCCAAAATAGCAATACTAAAAGAAACTCTTCCTAAAGTATAATTCTGTTAACCCAGTCAGGCATATCTTGGGGTTTGATGATATATGCATGTCGTCTGATGTGCACGTAAGGTCTAAAAGGATATATTCCCAAGCAGGCAATTGTTTTCTTTTTGTTTGCCTGTGTGTTCTAATTTGCCTGCAATGAAAATTTAATACTTCTTTAATTAAAAACTTTTAAAGACTCTATCCTCTTGCATACTTCTGGTCTTAATGTGTGTTCCTGGGAGTGATAGGAGAGGCAGGTAGGATCTAGGAAGTCATAATGGAAGCAGAACAGCCTCTCTCCCACCCTTTCTGGTTTTGCGTCGGTGACATTTTCTGTGACTCACGAAACAATACAGGTTTTTCACAGTGCTCCATGATGCTTTCCCTTCAGTGTTCCCTACCACCAGCGAGTGCTGGAAGTGAGCACAGCAAACAGTGCTTGTCTTCAGCCCCCTAAAAACGCCTACTCTGTGACTTCTAGCCATTTAGCTAGATAGGATGAAAACCATGTTGTCTGGAGTAGATTTTAGATTTTATTTATTTATTTTTAGAGAGAAGGGAAGGGAAAAAGTGCCTAACCAGCCAGTATTATTTATATTTAAATGTAAGTCTTTAAATTGCTCAGGAAATGTATTTAATATTTAAGGAACTTTGCTATAAAAGACATGGGAAAATGAAGACATAATAAAATATCCCGTCCTCTAACTGCATATAACTTCCTGATCTACAAGATGTAGTCTCTACAACCAGCCGTCATTTCCTCATTTTGTAAGGCTCCATCTTTCTCCTGGAAATAGGCCAGGCCCATATTAGAGGGGGAGCGGCAACATGGAAAAATTAATGACCTGGGATCCAAAGGTGGAACTGGCTCTGGACACCCGGATGGTGGCTTTGGGCAGGGCAGTGGCAACTCCAAGGGTTATTTTATTTTTAACTTCATTCTTTCAGCTCTCACCAGTTTGCAGAAAGCATATATTCTACTTGCTTAATAATAGCATTTGACCCCCAAACTCTAGTTCCTCTGAGCCTGAGAATCTGCTGGAACAAGCATGTTTACTCAAGTCACGTTATTTCATTGGGGTTCATTAGTGTCTGCCCCAGCTCAGTGAGTAGGAATTCAATATATAGATGTATAACTGACTGATGTAAGAGAATTTTAAAGATGGGAGTCTACCTTAGTTAGTAACTTCATAAGCAACTTAAAACAACATTTAAAATAGTTTGAAAGAACCTTTGAAATTGAAATTGAAATAGGAAGTTTTAGGAACTTGCAGTTTGCCCTACAGTTGTTTATTCTAGCTGCTATTCTTGTTTTTAATTCTAACATGTTTAGGCAAAGAGAGATTATAACTTTTTTGCATTCTTTAGAAAAGTTATTCTTTTCTTTCGTGCTTTCTTTTTTAAAAATATATATTTTCATTTTTAAATTACAGTGGTACAATATTACATTAGTTTCATGTGTACAATGTTGTGATTAGACATTTATATAACTTTGGAAGTGATCACCTGGATAAGTCTAGTACCCATCTGACACCATCCATAGTTATTACAATATTATTGACTATATCTCTACTCTGTACTTCACATACCCATGCCTATGCTGTAACTACCAATCTGTACTTTTAAATCCCTTTATCGTTTTTACCCATCTTTCAATTCTAAATTTTCTTTTCTTTTTTTTATTGAATTAACATGATGACATTGGTTAATAAAATTATATAGGTTTTAGGTATAGAATTCTATAGTACATCATCTGTACATTTCATTGTGTGTTCACCACTCCAAGTCTTTTCTAAATTTTATTTTTCAATTGCAGTTTATACTCTGTATCATTTTGTATTGGTTTCAGGTGCACAGCAGAGCGGTTAGACAGCCATACACTTTACAAAGCATGCTCCCTGATATTCCCAGTACCACCTGGCACCATACCTGGTTATTACAACATTACTGACTATACCCTCCATGCTGTACTTCACATCCCCAAGGCAGGTGATCACTTTTGAATGTGGAAATATGTGTATCAGAAAATACGAATATACATGTTATTTACCATAAAACGATGGAAGCTACTATCATATTCCATTGTTCTTCATCACTGGAATACCCATTTCTCGCCACATGCTTTCCTTAGCCAAACACACTTATTCATGTCGAATAAAATCTCAGCGTAGGAGGAGGGTCCTGACGTGAATGGTCAATTCAAATGAAATTTCTGTGTTATTTTCTTTCAGGACACAGAGCCTTTTCTGGTGCTTCTGTGGCCGGGAAGGAGGCAGCGCAGCTGAGTCTGTGGACGTTGCACCCGTGAAGACTTTGAAGTGAACCCTTGCTGTAATTTTTGATATTTTAAGTTTATGGTAAACATTTAGTTTAACTTAAGCTAGTAGAGTTCTGCAGTTTCCAAAAGAAGTTTACAGATCGACCCAGACTCAAGAATGATCCTTTCTCAATCAGTTACTGAAGTTGTGAATACATTGTTTTCTACTTGATCCAGAACAGTCTCTGGATTGGGCACCTTGACTCTTGGGGGATGGGGAACCGGGATGGCTGGAGCGGAGGCCGAGCCATCCCTTGTGCTGGAAGCCCCTCTGGCTCAAGGGCAGCGTGCTCTGGCATTTCCACAGTGACACACTCTCAGTGGTGCACGATTTAAAATGACCTTCCTTTTTGGCTGGAAGACTTAGAGGCCATCTGATCGTGCTTTCTCATTTTGCAGATGAGGAAATGAGACTCAGAGGTGGGAAATCAGTTTCCTTACTGTTGTCCCAGCGGGTTCTGGACATACCAGAACTAGAGTGTGAGCTCTTCCCACATCACTGTTCTTCTAACCCTTCCCGAGGCTGTGATGCTCTTGATGAAATTTAAGACGCCAACTGTTTTTGCTGGCAACTTTTAAACTGGGAAAATGACCAGGGTTTAAATGTCAGATTTATTTTTATATGGTTCACTGTGTGTACTGAACTCCACAGCACCCTGTTTAATTTGATGAGAAAGCATTGACAGTAATATATACTATTATTTCACACGCCCCTAAGAAAGTCAGGTAGGGGAGAGTTAACAGTTAACTTGTGACAGTTAATGGCCAGGCCCACTTGAGTTTCAGATGCTAAAGCATGCAAAAAAAAAAAGAAAGAAAAGAAAAGAAGGAAGGAAGGGGAACATCGTCAATAAAATATGGTATTTTTACCCTATTCCTCATGAGAAACTTAGAGTTTACACAGCCAGACCTCAGTCTTGGGTCTTCACAGAGAATCTTGCCTTTCTAGATCCTGGAATCTTTAAAGTGTCAACCCTACCCTTTTACAAAAATTGGGATCTTCCCTTTGTCACCCACAAACTACAGGGGGATTACGTGCCTTTTGTACAACATTCACACACGGAGAAAGCACTTCATTTTAGTTAATGACAAGTTAGAATAGCACTGGTACTCATTCATTATGTCATAAAATTCTGTTGCCACAAAGCAAATATTTTCCTCTCCTGCCCTGTGCGATAGCTTTCCCAGAACTAGGGGCAAATGGATCAAAAGAAGACTATTTTCCCTCTTTTAATGTAAAGCGCTAATGAAAGTGGCAGCCTCTTGTCATGGCAGGAAACTTGCAACAGTTGGACATCCTTTTGAGAAACTGAAGTTTGCAAAGGGCCACGGACTTCCCCAAATGAACAGTCTCAGGAAATTTTCCTTCAGACTCAGGACATTCTATTTCTAAGTGCTTTATTTATTGTTGGCAACTCCTCAGGGACTTCACCTTTCTCTCTATTAGTCAGTGTAATGGATGTAAAAGTGTTTTATGATTTGAAAATATCTGTATTTTCATTGCTCTTTCAGTTCAGTATGAAGTAAAATAAAGGTTCTCGATGATTTGGGATTTAGTTGGCCCGCTTGTGTTAACCATGTCACTCTCCCAAGCACTGTCTGACCCTTTGTCACATTCACTGTTGCTAGACTCGGGAGGACAAGCTGCTATGCAGGGAGCCCAAGCGGGGACTGGCAGCGTGCTGCTTCCTACGAGTCCTGCAGGTGCCAGCCTCGAGGCCACTTCCTCAGGGACTCCCACTTCTGTGTCCTTCCCACACTTTTCTTGTTATTACGTAATTCACTCTCATTCAAGGTTGGGCTACCCTCATAGACTTTAACCTCCATGAGAGCAAGGCCCCTCTCTGTCTGTTTTCCAGCCATATCCTGAGCACCGGACACACAGTAGTAAATATGAAAGAATCAGTGACCTAGAAGAGAGCATAGAGAAGCAACCAGCTGAGAGAGGAATAAGGAGTGTAAAGCCGGTCAAATAAGTATACGCATTACATTTAGTAAATATGAGCTACTGTACCCACTCTTGGTATCTTAATTTGGGTTTCACCTGGAGCAGACCCCACAATAAGGATTTTAGTGCAGGTACTTCTTCCTGGGGTTGGGGGAGTTGATCCCTAAAAGCACCAGTAAAAAAAATAGCACGCATTATCAAGGAAGCTACTACAGTGGGTAAGTGGGGCCTAAGCCTGTTGGGAACTTCTGGGGGGGTCAGGCACCCCAGAGAGCTCACCTGAGGGGAGGGGCTGGGATGGTCACCAATTCCCGTCAGTTGCAGGTAGAGGGCTGCTCCTAGGAGGCATTTCCTGACATTTCTGGCCTGCCGTGAACTCTGGCAGAGCCAGTTCCAGCAGCTGCAGAGGATCCTCGGCAGTCGGAAGGCGGGCCGTGGTGTAAGGAGGTCATAGGTGCAGAGGAGATCTAGATGGGGCACTGACAGTGTTGACCCCATGTGGATCAGATGCACCTGTGCCCACATGGAGTGGTGCACTCCATCCTGTCACCACCTCAAATCCCAGTGTCCAGAGCTCGCATGTGCTCACACACAACACACACACACCAGGAAGTTTAATAGCATAAGCTCTAGTCCTGTCGCCACAGATGGTTCTGAGTTCATAAGTGAGATTCATTATCTCCTTCCTCTACTGCCCTCTTATGGAGTGAATTGTGTCCCTTCAAACTCATATGTTAAAGGACCCAACTCTTAGTACCTCAGAATGGGACTGTTTTTGGAAATAGGGCCTATAATGAGGTAATTAAATTGAAGTAAAGCTGTTGGGGTGAGGCCCTAATCCAGTCTTACTGGTGTCCTTATAGGCAGAGGAAGAGAAACCAGAGGTGCTAGGGCACAAAGGGACAAGCGTGTCAAGAGGCATCAGGAGGGTGGTCATCAAGAGGGCAGCAGTCTGCAAGCCAAGGAGAGGGACCTCACAGGAAACTGACCATGCCAGCACCTTGATCTTGGACTTCCAGCCTTCAGAACTGCAGGAAAATTAATTTAGATAGTTTAAGCCACCCAGTCTGTGGCGTTCTGCTATGGCAGCCCTAGCAAGCTAACACACACACACACACACACACACACACTTTAGGTTCCTGTCACACTTGGCATGCCTTCTGCTTGTCTAGGTTGCTTGACTGGTGGGGTTACCCAGACCCTCACCCCTAAGGGGTCTTAAGCCCTGGTTATCAGGCTCTTGTCAGACCCCGTTGACTGAAATTGCCAATGCGTGTTCATCACCAGGCACGGCAACACCAAGAGGCATCCCAGTAAAATTCCTGAGTTCCATACATCTTCTTCCCTGCCCTTCTTCCTGATAGTAATCACCTACTCCTGCTGGGTACTTACTGCTTCCCTTGCTTGGTAGTCTTTTGGCATGAAGACCCCCAAATGACCAGGCATCAGCCGCAGCTTTACTGGAACCCTTTCTACGTCCCCTGGTAGGTGTATCCCCTGCTGACCACCTAAAGTCAGGTACTCTAGTCCAGCAGAGCCTAATGTTGAAAGGATGGGAACACGAATTCCCCGGGTGGGTCAATGTGAGCTATGGTGACAGAGTCCACTCCTACCTCTTGGATTCCAGACCTGTGTTTTCTATCTGTTGGAGTCAGAATGTACAGTACCATATTGTGACCATATGTGCCCCATATTCCTCATCTTCGAGACCAGCATTCCAACCCTGCAAAGATGCTTTCATGTTGCTGTGCCTTTAAGAGGCCATCCCAATATTCTATCAGGGCCATAGTTTCAATGTATTGTAGTGTTTAGGAGACAAAGTGCAGCCTGTGCACACTTGTAAAGTGAAGCTCTTGGTGTAAGGCATGCGTTCTCAGCTAGGGCAGTATTGCTTTCAAGGGGGTGACGATTAGTTTTCGATGGGCAGAACAACTCTTCTGGTGCCTAAAGCACAGATATACAGAAAGTACGTAAACAAATACAGTACATCCGTGGCATTAAAATTTGTGGGAGTGGCAATTAGAAAAAATGTCTAAAAAGACATTAGGGGAGTGGTAATGAAAACTTGATAAGCACTTGTCAAAGGGACTGTTATGTGAAATTTCATAATGATATAGACCCATAGTCTTTGCATAATGTTGCTGGCCAAGCCACTATGGGCAGAAAAGGTGAATCCATCCTAGGGATCGACCCCAAGGAGATGGATCTCTGTCCTTCCCAGAGTGGAAGGAGTTTGATAAAGTCAATTTGCCACCGAGTGGGTGGTTGGTTTCCTTGAGGGACGGTGACATATTTAGGGCTAAGTCTCTGAAGCTAATTGTTCAGACATCCAGCGGTAGCCACTCAATCGGGCCTGGTGAGTGGGACCCCCTCTAGAGTTTCATCCCTGCCACTGCAGCTACTGTCTGTGAGCCCGGTGAGGAAGCCCTGAGGCAGCCAAGGACCGAGGCTGGCTGGACTCCCCAGGATGGGTGGTTAGGTTAGTCATCCTAACCACCTGGTTGTTTTGTACCTCCTGTGATGGACATTTTCATGTGGGCACTAACATAAGACACAAACGTTTGACCTTTCATGCCTACTCGTTAGTCTGCTAACCTTGTCTCTTGATCAGCCAGTCACATCATGTGTCACTGCCCAGAAGTCTTTGCATATACTCACCTTGGGCTGTGCCTCCTTCCACACAAGGCTGATGACCAGCTGCATCACCTGACGCAATGCCCACTGGGAGTAATTCTCACCACTGGCTTCCACAGTCACTCCTGACTGGGGCTGTAGTGTGGCGGCAATCCCCACACAGACTAATTAACATAGAGAGCCGATCTATCTTTGAACCAGACCTGAGTTTGTTTGTTCTCCATCAGCTGGGTGGAAGGAACCTATGCGGCCACAGGTATGAGCTGAAGGAGAGGTGTAAGTGCGACAGAGGAAGGCGATGGAGGCGCATGCATTGCCTGTTTGTGTGATGTCTTTGGCTTTCTGACTCTCGGGGTCGCCCCACCTGTCCAGAATGTCCCATTCCCATTGGACAGTGGATCGCTGATGTGCTGGCTTGACTCAGCTGTCTGAAGAAAGCTAAAATATTTTAGTCACAACATTATTTCAAGTTTGTATTTCCTTTATGTTTTAATAAAATGGATCTCTTTAAATGAAACCATGGGGGTTTTCTGGCTTTTCTTATTAGTCCTTGGTGCCATGAACTTGTAATTTTCTTCAGTGCACCAACAGCAGTTGGTAACAACCAATCAGGACTTCCCATCTCTCAAATGCTCGCGATATTGAATAAGCCCTTCCCCCTGAATCTTACTTTATTCACCCCAGGTGAGGCCTCTAATAATTGTGATGCTTTAAGCTCAGAGTTTCTCACCATTCTACTCCCATAAACAGTGAGACCCTTGTTACCATCTAACTGGGAAGGAGTCTAATTCCAGTAACCCATCCTGACACGCGAGTACCGTTTCTAGTGCTGTCTTAGCGTGGGTTACCCGCAGAAGGAGGCCCAGAGACAAGAATTTCAGATCAAGTTGTTTATTTGGAAGGTGCATCCAGTGGACACCAGTATTAAAATAGGAAGTGAAAAAGGAAAGAGAGGAAGTGAACAAACTGGGTTGTCAACCAGGTTTCCACTGTGGTAAAGGAGGCGACTCACCCTGGAGGCCCTGGGAAATAGCGCAGAACAGCAGGTCAGCAGGTGGGGGAGCTGGGTGTCTGTACCAGTTGGCTTAAGCTGCTGGAATACCCATGAACTGGGAGGCTTAAATAACGGACGTTCATTACCTCACAGTTGGGAGTTTCAAAATCAAGGTGTCAGCAGCGTTGGTTCCTTCGGAGGGCCGTGAAGGAGGGATCTGTTCCTGGCCTCTCTCCCTGCCTTGTGTGTGTC